AAACATTTTTTAACACAAAGTTTTATTTAGATGCTTTAGAGTCCAGAAGTGATAAATTGAAAGCCAAATGGTAAAAAACATATAGTCATAGAGTTTTTTTATAAGCAATAACATTCAATATAACTGCCATAATCCTTTTCATTGAAAATGTTGTTTACTCTAAGCTCTCTTAAGGAATTTCTCTATTGAAGAGCTCTAAGATGGCTAATTATTTAATCTTGAATAATATGAGTAACAGCGAAGTACAGAAAAGTCATTTTTAAATAATACAAAGTTATTAATTCATAAATAAACAAATTATATAGCAACATGATTCAATATAAGAAAACACCTTTACTCATGAATGAGAAATATGAGAATTGAAGAATAAAATGCTCAAAAAAAGTGTACTAGCTTGCTACAAAATGAACACTTGGGATCACGTCTCTTGACTCGCAATATAGAACAATGTTATTAACTCTGAAACAGGAAAGAGAATAACTACAGATGCAAGGGACTAGTCAAGGAAACACTGCCTACTTAGATTAAGTGTTGTGCAGAGGAGAGACTCAATATTGTATACCATTGCACCCAGTGTGTTATTTGTAAACTTCTGCTTTGAATTATTAAAATGATTTTTCTAATAAGAATTTTATAACTTTTAAATGGCCAAGAAAAACAGCAAACAACTAATTTGGAAGGCTATCGTGTAGCCATCAGAAATGACTAGCAGCCTTACCTCTCAGATTTAGTGATAAGCGGGAAACAGCAGAAATTAAGGAGGAGGACCCTCAGTGCTTTATATTATTAATATTTACATTCTAACTATGCAAAGATGAACTCTTTAGTAAAGAGGGAAGAAAATATATTTGGCCTCTGTCTTTCCATTATTTAGGCAATAAAATAATTTAAAGACATAATAGTGCTTACATTGCTCTTTTATTTCATAAATCCTTTATCATTTTTCACTTTTCATAGTATAAATTCATAGATGCACACTATATAAGTAGCTTAAATAAATTGATGTATTTCGGAATCACATAAAAGATCATTAGAGGAAACACTCATTTACATATCTATAATGTAGTACAAAAGCACTTTCTTCACCTTTACTCATGAATTATGCTTTGTTAAACAACTTAGCATAAAGGGCAAAGATGCTGATTTCATTTAAAAATCACACCAGGTCTTGTGAAAGTATTAAGATAACAGCACTACATATATATATATATGTATATGTGTATATATATATATCACGTCATCATGTTAACTTAAAAAAACTACTTTCTTTTTAGAAATTTATTACTTGACAATTAAGAATCTTTTGACAATAAAAACTAATCTTTAGCAGAAAAATCATTAAAGTAACTGAGAAGATGGACTGAAAACAGTACTAGAAGCTCATTAGTCAAGTCATAAAGTGTAGTTAATAAGAACACTAAAATTATAATATCACATTTGCTTTAAAAAATTTGGCTAAAAAAGAGAAAAAAAACCTGTAGATTTTCTGACATATTAGGTAGAAGGCACATTTTATGTTAGGGTTGGTAGCCATTTTAGATGAAATAAGAAAAAATAGATATAATTTAATAAAGTGGTACAAACTTAATTTTTATTGTTATAACCATGGTTTACAAGAGTGTGTGTTTGATTAAGGGGTGCATCGTTACTATATCACTTCACCCACCCCCAAAGTGCCAATGTCTGTTTACCACACACATCCCATAAGAATTTTCCCATTCACTATCTCCACTATTAATCTAAAACCTTCATCAGAGTCTAAGGTGTTTTCAGCTATTATCTATCCCCCTTCTCTTCTTCTTTATATACCACATATGAGGGACATAAGTTGGTATTTCTCATTCTCTTTACCATTTCTCTTAACACAAACCCCTTAGTTGTGTCCATGTTACAGTTAGCAAAATGCATAATTGTATATTTTATTACAACTGAAAATATTTAATTTTGTCTTATTAATCCACTCATCTGTTGTTGACACTTAGCTGTTTCAAAATTTTGGGTACTTTAGATAACACTGCAATGAACATTGCTATATCACAGATAGACAGATATTGCTATATATACATACAACACAATAAAAGGTAAAGGTAAAGGTAAAGGCCCTCCCGTTGATCGTCGATTTGCTCGAGCGGGTCCAGTAACGTCTCCATTGGAGACTTTGTTGTTACTGTGTCTGGCATATCGAATACTCTCGGTAGCTTGCCGGGCACTCCGAGAGGGGTGGAGGAATCGAACTCGGGTCGGCCATGTTGGCCGCTTGTAAGGCGAACGCCCTACCGCTGTGCTATCACTCCAGCCAATACAACACAATATTCATATATATATATATATGCGGCAATAATTATATGAGCATTTCTGTATGTATTTAGCAATATATATGTATACATATTTATACACACATAAAATTTCTAGTTGATATTGTCATTGTCTTGGGTTAGCTGCTGAAGGGCTTAAGTCTAGAATCTTTTGGGAGTTTCAGTTTAAATTTTGTTAGAAATATTGATACTGTTTTCCATTGGAATCAAATTACTAAAGACACCTCTGATGTCAGTATAATAAAGCAATTTGTCTATGTTTTCCTTAATGTATTTTATGAGGTTGGGTCTAACAACAAAACTTTGGTGAAGGGAATTTGACACTGGTACTGAGATTGGCACTAAATCATAATATGCTTAAAAATAAGCTATAAAGAACGTGTAAATTAAAGTGTCTTACTAGAAAAAATTAATAAAAAATATATTTGGGTTGCCTTTCATGCAACTTGTAAGATAGTGGCCCATTTTGTTATTTTGAATGAATTTAACTAGTTCTACTAATATTAGTTATGTATGTTTTTCGTTATGCTCTTTTTCCATTTATCTTCACCTGTACATATATATATGAGTCATAATTTATAACTTCCAATACAAACTTTAATTTCTGTGTGACAGATTTATAAGATGGAATTCTAACTCTAATGCAATATGATATTTTTGTGCGTGAATTAATCCTAATTATTAACCTATAATTATAGGAAGAGTTACTAATTAGAAAATATTCCTTGCTATAGTTCTCATATTTTTAAACTCATATTTAATACGATGGCTTTTATACAGGAACAGTACAAAAAACACTTTGGTCATAGTTGGGTGCAATAACTTTTAATACAATTATAACCGTGTAACCTAAACTACAATAAAAATTATAACTAAGAATATTTTTCACAATGTATAATACAATTATGCCATCACATGTTGTTTATATTTAGTTTTTAAAATACTTCATATTGCCGTGTTTTCCACCTTGTAATTTATTCAGACCTACATTTATTTGTGATGATTTATAAGAGTAATATTTATGGAACGACAAAGTGATTTATCTAATGTTTTTACAACATGGAATAGTCAAACTCTTGAATCAACATAATTTTTCCAAATTATACATACTTGTATATATAAGATACAGCAAAACTTGCTCAGTGTTTTGCTTACAGTAGGCTAATGATGTCTGCCATTTCTTTTTCTCCCAAGTTTCTTCTTTTGTTCTCCTGAAATGTTTGTTAAGTTCCATTCTCTATTAAACTAAAACCTAAATTCAATTCACAATATTTATATTTTTAAAATAAAAGTTTTCCTTCTATTTCTCTGTGCAACCGTTATTTTTATCATCTACTTTACATGGGCTAGAGTGATGGCACAGCGGGTAAGGCCTTTGCCTTGCACACGGCCAACAGGGCTGACCCAGGTTCAATTCCTCTGCCCCTCTCAGAGAGCCTGGCAAGGTACCAAGAGTATCTCGCCTGCATGCCAAAGCCTGGCAACTCCCAGTGATGTGTTCAATATGCCAAAAACAGTAACAACTAAGTCTCACAATTTGTTGTGAGAGTTACTGGTGCCCTCTTGAGCAAATCGATGAACAACGGGAGGACAATGCTACAGTGTTACTTTACATGGTTATTATACTTAAGGTGAATATCATTTCCATTTATGTGTGTTCCTTGTGTTTTTTTCCCAGTACTTTTCTCCCTACATTCCTTATTTAGTTCTATGCATTTTGTCTATACTTTCTGTTTTATTATTTAACTATTTGCCTATTTCTAATTTTATGGATTTATAATATCCACGACCTCTAATGATTTCTGTAGGTCAGTTAAAATCAGTTGCTGCTATTGCTTGGATTAAAGTATGCCAGCCTGCTTACCTATCTCTTCTGTGAAATTTTATTTTTTCACATCTTACTTGGGCTGGAGCGATAGCACAGCGGGTAGGGCGTTCGCCTTACATGCAGCCAACATGGCCGACCCGAGTTCGATTCCTCCGCCCCTCTCGGAGAGCCCGGCAAGCTACCGAGAGTATTCGATATGCCAGACACAGTAACAACAAAGTCTCCAATGGAGACGTTACTGGGCCCGCTCGAGCAAATCGACGATCAACGGGAGGGCCTTTACCTTTACCTTTACCACATCTTACTTAGCGATATCAAGACCTCCTTTATTCTTGTGATGTCTCTAGCAAGGTTTCAATCCTCTGGAGGATGTTGTTGAGTGTCCATGAGTCACGTAGAATATGAAGTCATTGTGTAGTGAATTCATATAATATCCAGAAAAGCAAAATGAAAACAGAAAAGGGCACAAAAAAGATAAACAAAAATATAGGCATTAGCACTGAGTCCCTAATAAATGGCATATTTAAGAGATCACGCTGCACCTTGGCATATGAACACACTCTTTGTTCGGCTCTGCGCATTTCAACTTTCTGTAGGGGTTGGTCTTGTTGTTTATAGAGATTCATACTGACATAATATTGAGAATTTACAGTTCAGATATGGAGGTTTGTATAAAGATGTGTTCAGTGAGAAGAATCCTGTTTGCATGATGCTTTAAAAAGAATATCCATAGAAATGTGAAAAGATGTGCCTATTGAAATTTTATTGCAAAATAGTAAAATCTATGTTCAGAAAAATACGTTTAAGGATACTATTTTTGTAATGTATATATATATCATCTGCTCTCTTCCCTTTAGGTAGAAAATGCTTCCCTGTGTTCACATACTGTGAAGACTTGGACTCAAACAACTCCAGTTTGTATTCTGCAACTGCTTCAGGATGTAAATGTAGTTTGACCTTTCCCTGATGGGCAGTTAAATCATGGACATGCTATACCATTTATTTTGGACAGTCCTTCCAAAAATGCTTTGGCTTCTCTCTTGAATGCTCACTAAGCATTTGTAGCTGACAAGGACAAGGAAGAAAGCCGTGAACTGGAAAGTTATCTTACAATGAAAATTACGAGCACATCTTGCATCTGTCCAGTCCTAGTGTGTCTCTGTTTTGTTCAGAGGTGTTATGGAACAGCTCATCACAGCTCCATCAAGGGAACCAGAAACCAAACCAAACACATTGAAGGGGAAACCGAAGTCCATCATCGTCCCAAAAGGGGATGGGTTTGGAACCAGTTCTTTGTTTTAGAAGAACACATGGGACCAGATCCACAGTACGTTGGAAAAGTAAGTCATTATTCTTTTGCATCTTATTTCTTTTTATGAACAATGGAATGGAATTAGGCTCAGGACTGGGAGACATTATATGTCTCCATGATATTATACATGGAGACATATATATTATATTTTATACATATATTATACATATTATATATTGTACGTATATTTTGTATGGTATTATACAAAGTTCCTTCTTATAATAGACACTCCAAATACCATGAACAATGAACTTTATTAGTTGGGTGACATCTCCCAAAAATATTGTTTTGTACATACTGGATTCAGAGATGTTTGCCAATATATATTGCTCTTTCTGTTCTCTGGTGAAAAAATAAAAACGTTTAAGCATAAAATTCAGTCATGTTATTTTAATATGATGGAGATATGCTAACATTAACATCACTGATTGATAGATGAATATTTAATTGTTATCAATTGCTTCATTTATTGAAGCTAGAAAGAAGATCCTATGTCATAATCATTTATAGAGTTCTGTTCAGTATTAGTGACAGCATTCACAGATAAGCCATCCTTAAGCATAATCTTACTCTGGGCCAGGGAGATGATCCAGAGCCTAGTTGGATAGCAGCCCCCATACCACATGTCCCCACCCCATGGCATTGCAGATGTATATTTGAGGGTACCTGTGTACTGACCCTGGTCACTTTTGCTACTCCAGGGCTCCCAGCAGAAACACATCCTTGGGATCTAGAATAAAACCATCTGCCCCTTTAGCAAAAATGGGCTCATTTATGCCACTCCCAGCAATAATTTTCATTCATATGTGGATACATTTTCAGTGAACTCTACACTGACAGTACAGGTTTTGTGCAATGTCCATTTGGAAATAATTAACCTCCAAGACTGAAGTTTGACAAAGGGCTGAGTGACTCCACACCAGCATCCTTGTCAAAACTCTGGACAAGGCATCCCAATGGCTTCTCATACCCTTGAAATAGTGTACTGGGGAATTGGGACCATTTCAGTATGTGTCACCTTGACTGGTGGGAGAGGAAAAGCTGTGAGGTGAGGCCCGCGGGGTCACAGCCCCAGAAGCTGGACTGTTGGGCCAGTGTGGCAGATGGGAGACAGCCAGCACCACGGGGGGTGGGGGGTGGGGGTGACTTCCTTTTTCTTGGCTATTTATTTTCACTTTAGCACTTTAGCTCAGAATAAAATGCAAAGAAAAAAGGAAAGATAAAATGAGTAGTCTGTACAAGCCAAGGTGACTCCCTAAGGCGTGGGAAGAACAGGTTCACAAGCCATCTGGTCCACAGTGCTCCAACAGGGAGCACTGCCACTGTACTTTCCCAATACAGAAGCTGAGTCATGAGAACATGGAACACACACGAAAATAGACTAGAGCATTTCTGGCATTTTCTTCTCTGCATATAGCAAAGAGGCAAAGGACGCACAACTTCATCCCCCCCCCCCACCATACACACACTGTAGAATGTCCATTCCATTGAGCAACTAGAGAGGAAAAAACCTAATATTAAAAAGTGCTTAAAAGTACAAAATTTATTTTTGTCATAAGCTCCAAGATATTTTTCTCTGTAATTGTGAAGATCCTTTAAAAAGAAGAAAGAGGAGAACAGAAACAGGTTTCTTTTTTTATTCTAAAGAACAATATTTTATTATATACATTTAAAAAATACTTATCTGTGGAGCTGGAGCAATAGCACAACAGGTAGGGCATTTGCCTTGAATGTGGCCAACCCCACCAACCCAGGTTCGATTCCTCTGCCCCTCTTGGAGAGCTTGGCAAGCTACCAAGAGTATCTTGTCCACATGGCAAAGTCTGGAAAGCTCCCCATGACATATTCGATATGCCAAACGCAGTAACAACAAGTTTTACAATGGAGATGTTACTGATGCCGCTCGAGCAAATCGATGAACAACAGGAGGACAGTACTACAGTGCAGCTTCTCTGGGATTCTGAAGGTAGCACAGGGCATTCCCAGTTCAATCACTGGCACTGCATGGACCCCAGATTCACAGGGTGGTGAACATCACTTAGGAGATCCTCCCAGCCCCAAAAGGCTCTGTTAAATACAGTCATCATTTTAATTTGACTTCAAACCGAAGTCAGTACCTTGATCGAAAATGGAAATGGGGGGCACGCTTTCATTTTCTCCTTGATTTCTAGTCTCAGGGAAAATGAACTCCATTAGGTCAGCTAGTAATTCTTTTCTGGACTTGTGTGTCAGTGTATCAGCCTGAGAGCTCAATCTCCAAAGGCAGCCCTGAGTGGCTTTGAAGTGGTGCAAGTACATAAGGTTCTTTGGAAATCGGTCTCTAGGCTGCTCTTTATGGTTTGAGTGGGTAATTCAAAAGGGTCACCCACAGGGTTATGATTCTCTTATTTTCTACCGATCTGGGTTCTCGCCCAGCCTGTGTCTTCCTCTCTATTCTAATATGCCTTTGTGTACAAACCTAAGAAATAGTACCGATTCTATCCCCTTTCACAGCTTCTCAAAACATATCCATATACAGAAACATCCACCCGGATACCATACATTATGATGAATTTTCCAGAGGACTATGAATATTAATGATCAATATATTTGAAGGGTGAGAGAGAACATTCAAAAGATCAAGCATGGGCTATCCATACGATGCTGGTGCCCGGGTTTATACTTCAACATGGATAATTCCCTGCATGCCATGGGAGGTGACCTCTGAGCATGGAATGGGTTGCTTCCCTGAGATCCAACAACTGTGCCTTTCCTAAATACATATATGCTTCAAATATTAACTCTCTTACTCAGGGTTACTCCTGGCTCTGTGCTCAGTGATCACTCCAGGCAGTGCTTGGGGCATCATAAGTTATGTGAAGTATTGAAGCAGGGTCGGTCATGGCCAAGGCAAGTTCCCTGTTCTGTACTGTTTGTCCAGTATCTGCTATTCTTTTTTTTTAAATTTATTTATTGAATCACCATGAGAAAAGTTACAAAGCTTTCAGGTTAAAGACTCGATCATACAATGATGAAACACTCATCACTTCACTAGTGCTCATTTTTCACCACCAAGAACCCCAATATCCTCCACTTACCACCTCTCCCGATGCCTGTGAGGCAGATGATTTCTACTTAACTATCTCTCTGCTTTGACTACATTCATTATTTCGACAAAAGATGCACCATTATTATTTGGAATTTCCTTCCAACAATCAGAACTGCTGAAAATGCATTGTGAAATAGTTTGTTTGCTATTGCTGGTTATGGAGACCATATGATATCACGTGGATGCTATAGCGGCCGTGCAATTTTGGATTTCTAATATTTTACTAATTGAGTCTGGAGGAATTTCTGCCAAAAGCTGGATAATTACGAGACTGGTTTATGTGCCTCTGGGGCCGTGCCGGAGAGCCTCTCATGGGGGGCAACTCGTGGCCACTGTAGAACGTGGAGGCCGTGCTGGTTCCACTCCCATCCCATGAGGCTGCAGTTGCCCCATTACCGCCGGCTCATACCTGGTTGTCCAATGAGCTCTGAGGCGGGGGCCACTGTGCCGTGGGAGGGAAGGGGGAGGTGGAAGAGACAGACATTAATTCACTCCCAGGGGTGGGGGCACGGAACAGTGCCAAGTTTAACGCATAGTCCATTCACATTTCTGCCACAAGCTGCTGTGTTCTGAATTACATCAGTGTGCCTCTGGCACCATTGCCGTGCTGGATAGCCTTTCATGGGGGGCAAGTTGTGGCCTCGATAGGACATGAAGCTTTTCTGTTTTTTTTAAGAATAAATTTATAGGTTTGGAGGATAGCATAGTGGGTGGGGAATTTGCCTTGCACGCTGCTGACATACCCAGGTTCAATCCCCAGAAGCCCATATGGTTCCCCAAGTATTGCCAGGAGTAATTCCTCAGTGCAGAGCCAGGAGTGACCCAAAAAGCAAAATAAACAAATAAAATTATATCTCAAACAGAAATACATTCATAATGAAGAATACATATATGCACATATTTTCACAGCAGTCCTGAGTATAAGGCAGCACTCTTATGGAAATGGTACCTTCAGAGATGGTCCTAGGCAGCGTGCTGAAAATCATTGCCATCCTGGGGTAGTGGGGTCGGGAGAGAACTAATGCATGTTTTTTAAATTCAAATATATATGATTTTATACACATATACACATATATGATTTTCTACATATACACTCATATGATTTTTTTCAAATTTTTCTTGATTATAATTGGATATATCTTACAAAAAATTAATATTTTACATTATAAATATGTTTGGTGAACTTTGAATAAGAACTCTCAATATTTAGTTCACATCTAGTTCTTTGGTGCATACTAATTTCTATCACACATTTAAGAATTATTTTCTGAGATTTTCTTAGTAAAGCTTCATTAGGAGGGAATTTATCTTACTAAAATATTTACCATTTAATTTTAAAGTGTCTGGGGGCTGGAGTGATAGAACAGTGGGATCCTTGGCTTCCCATATGATCTCCTGAGCACCTCCAGGAGTAATTCCTGAGTGCAGAGTCAGGAATAAGCCCTGAGCATTGCAAGGTGTCCCCCAAAATCAAACATAACGAAAACTTTATGTTGCTAAAGCCATTCATAATGATACACAAAACCTCTCTAACATCACTAAACTCATCGCTTTTATTGTGTACAGTATCTTTTAAAGAACTGTAATTTATTTCTTTATGGCATTTCTCTCCAAACAGATATTTTAATGAACAATTTCTCCTTTCCTTGATGCTTCTTGTTATTTTGTTACCATATTTTGTTATCACATGCAATACTGCAATGTTCTCAAATATATATTACTGGATATATTTGGATATATTTAGATATTATTTGTGATGGCAAAGATATCCAGGGCTACAATGAACTTGGTTTACCTATATCTTCTCAAATTGGTGTTCTTGTTTTATGTGACTATGCAAAAAGATATCAAGAAATGGAGTTGCTAAGTCATGTGGTAGCCCTACTTTTAAGGTTTTGAAAATTCTCTATAGTGTTTTCCTAAAAGGCTGAACCAATTTC